GTAGCCCTAAGGGATTTAGGTGCGTTCTCGTTACCACGTTCATGATACCAATGTTATAACTCCTCTCAAAATCATTTCCCCTCTCGTCTCTTTTCTCTTTCGCTTTTTTCGATCGTGCAAGTCATCGAGTTATCGATTCTACTTAAGCGATCTTGTTAATCGCCGTTTACAAAGTATCCCGAGACATTTTTCGGCTTAGTACTGGATCGGAGATGTTGGTGAATGGGTGGTGGGAGACTAAAGGGGTCGGGCTTTGGTTAAGTTCATAAAAATATATCGAATGTGCAACTAAGTAAGGTTTCCTTTTTTCTCGCTTTTTCTTTCTGTCTTTTTTTTTTTATTGAACGTAAACGTTAATAATAACAATAATAATAATAATAATATATATATATATATATAATCCTCTAATATAAGGCAGCTAGTTTGTCGGCAAATATTTCGTATCTATGTAGAAAAGGATCGATGAAATGATCTATGGGGGTCTATCATAAATATCTTTCGTGTTGCCATGTACGATTATTATTTGGAACATGATACGATAGACGCGAAAGCATCACGACATCCGTAACATTCGTTATGCACGGTGCGTTCATCCGTCAAGGTGGTCAGCAAAGCGGGAGCAAAGCTGGCAGTGGCAGGAACAAGAGGAAGAGAGGAGGACAAGAGTGAGAGGGTCCGAGCGAGCTCAAAGAAAGGGGGCAACGTCGTAAAATTCAGCAAGGTAGTCGATCATTGTTCTTTCAAGCCCGGGCCATTGCACCTCCACCTTTCTCCCAAGAACGTTCCGCTACCCTTTAAAGCCTCGTGTTACCGCTTATTTGCTTAACAAGACGCGTTCGATGACCAACGACGAGTTGCTCTTGCTTGGTCGATCACGAAATGTCTACATGTGCTTTCTTATAAGCCACGATCACGGAATACACATACATATGCATGGACGCACAAACAAACACAGGTATATACGTATATATGTATGTATGTAGAAAGTAGATACATATATACCAGCACGTAGGTTAACTTCTTTTTTTATTCTTACATCGTCTTCTTGTCTTTCCAAAATTATATAGCTCAGATTTAGGTATGTCTCAAATAAATCAGGAGCATCGTAGGGTATTAAATTGCTTCCTAAGGTATGAACATAAACGACGCACATAGGATAATATAAATATTTCGAATATAGGCACGCGGACGTACGCTAACACGTATACGCGCATACACACAAACACACATATATATATATATATATATACACATATATACGCACATATGTATATATAGGTATATTATGCAGACTTTCGCACTTTGTTCGTTTGAACACAGATTCGTGTTGAATATTTGGATCAACGTTTCCTTATCGAAGAGACCCAAAGGTTCTCATGGGGGGAAAAATAAAAAGAGACGAGAAAACCGTCAGGCTTTTCGTTCATCCCACGCAGGATATCGTACGATATCACGAGGACATCCATTAGCGATGAACCGGTAAAAGGGTTCGTACTAATATCCGAGCTGTGTAAGGGCGTCCCCCCACTCCCCCAAAAAATTCAGTCTCCGCTCGCAACTCGTCGTTGAGAGGAGAAGATAGGATGAGGATGAGGACGAGGACGAGGACGAGGATATGTGAATGTGGATGGTGGATGTGATGGTGGATGAGAATGAAGAGGTGGAGGAGGAGAGAACGGAGGACTGGACTTCCCACGCCCGAAGGAAGAATAAATTTCCTCGGGAGGGGTAAACTGTATTAACCGCGGGAAGACTCATCTATCCGTCTATCTCTTTGCCCGTCTATATTTCAGGTGATACTCGGAGGCATCGTACATGGTCCGCGTTCGCGTAGCTTCTTTGGCATCTCTCTTTCTCTCTCTCTCTCTCTCTCTCTCATGCTCGCTTACTCTTCTTCTCTCTTGTTTTACGTGCAAGAAAAAGATAGATAGATAGAGAGAAAGAGAGAGAGAGAGAGAAAGAGTATAGTCAGGATCTTGCGCCACACCTCGTTCGTTGCGACTGCAGCAATCCGACACCCAACCACGTATTCTCTCTCTCTCTCTCTCTCTCTCTCTCTCTCTCTCTCTCTCTCTTTCACACACTCACTCTTTCTTAGTATGCCTACGCAGACGTTAGTTCAAGAGCAAAAGAAAGATAGAGATAGATAGATAGAAAAAGAGAGAGAGAGAGAGAGAGAGAAGTTCTTGCACGCACATCGCCACTAGCAACATACAAGCTCATAGTTATCCTTGCAAGCGAAATAATCGTCGTAACGCATACGACCGCACGCGAGAGCCGGTAATAACGTTGCGGTCACCATGACATTCGTCGTTACGTTCGAATCGTTCGAGCTCGCGCTAGACCTTTTAGTGACTTTAGCATATTCACGTTTTATGTATGTATGTATTTCGTCGGAGTTATCATCTATTTTCTATGCACTAAGGAAAAGCTCTCTTCTTCTTCTTCTTCTTCTTCTTCTTCTTTTTCTTTCTTCTTTCTCTCTTCTTCTTCTTCTTTTTCTTCTTCTTTTTCTTCTTCTTCTTCTTCTTCTTCTTCTTCTTCTTCTTCTTCTTCTTCTTCTTCGGGGCCCTAAGGAGGCGTTAAGAGGCGCAGCCTCGTAAAATAAGGCGGCGACGTGGCGGCTAGATACGACCTCACGTTCGATCGTAAAATCGGTCGGCGCGTTCGGTGCAACGGGCATAATTCTTCGACTGGTAGGTACTACGGGACTGGTAAATATATAGATCGAAAGAAAGAGAGAGAGAGAGAGAGAGAGAGAAAAGGAGAGAGAAGTATATCCGACGGTGAGCACGTTATGACGTTACGAGCAGCTGTTCCGGAGATTGAAGGTGTCGGCAATCAATTCGGTGGACGGCTCGAGCCGCTCGTATATTTCGAGAGATGCGCGCGTTACGATCATCGAGGTACTTTCAAGACTCGATCCACAACTATGCCACTGGCTTTTGCTCCTGTCGATCTTCTTCCTTCTGTCTCGATCGTTCGAAAACCTTTTTTTGCGTCTCTCTCTCTTTCCTCCCCATCTCTTTTCGCCAAAGATCTCAAATTATTTTTATTCCTTTTCCATTCGTTTTATCTTTTCCCTTCTTTTCCTTTTTTTTTTTCTTTTTGTTTGTTCTTTTTCTTTTTTTTTTTGTTTTTTTTTCTTTTTTTTTCTAACACTTGTACGTAAACATATCTATATTATCGACTTTCTTTCATATTTATACACGTCATATCTATATAGCATCGCATAAATGACACTAGATCATTTTGATTCATCGATACGACGAAGAGATTCTCCTCTCGAGGTTCATCGATCGAATGATCCAAGGACGAAGTTGTGCCGTCGTTCAGAAGTCTCGTTAGCCGTCTAGAATTGGCCAGTGATCAGGTAGAATGGATTCTCCGTTCGTCCGAAAAGGACATTAAAAAAGGGGATGGCCTCGTAAAATTAGGCCGATCACAATGTTGGACGTTCTCGTGGTTATGGCTGTATAGGTAGCTAAGCGACAAACATTTATACGGAGCCTCGTAAAATTAGCCGCTAGTCGTCATATCGATAATTTCTCGGTTACGACAAATTTTATGCAGGGGTAATCGCCAAACTAAATCGGATAGTACGATCCTTTTATTTATTTATTTATTTATTATTTCTTTTTTTCTTTTATTTTCTTTTTTTTTCACTTTATTTCATTTTATTCTTTATTTAATTTTTTTCTTTTTTTTTTTTTTTAATACACGTACTCTCATTTGCCCAATAAAACGAAAAATCGCACATTGATATCAAGAAAGAATCCCAATAATGAATCTATTCGAATTCTCCTTTCCTCCATGATCTCCATTCTTCGATCATCTTGTTTGAAGTTTATTTATAAGCTTCGATAATAATAATCGTTAAGTTTTGTTCGTTCTATAGAAAGGGAGGGAGGGATACGGGCCGAGTAAAATATTGAATATATGTATATACGGTAAAAGAGGTATCTATAAGCTCGAACCCGTAAATTCGACTCATAGAGATAGGAGAACGAAATAAGTAAGAGCTTATAAGTAAGATCTCATTAATCTTTCAATTTCTCAATATATATATATATATATATATATTGAAAAATTGTTTATTACATTATATATTGTCGTAGATTTGTAAGCCTACTATAATAAAAATTGTGATAGAAATTTTCCGAAAGAATTGCGTGTTTAATTTATAGTTTTATCTTAATAGGAAGATATTGGTACGACGAATCGACGTTAGTTTTTTTTTTTTTTTTTTTTTTTTTTTTTTTTTTTTTTTTTTCTACGGATTATAAAAGTATATAAGTAAGATAAGAAAGATGTGAGATAGGCGGAATCGAGTTTGAAGAAATAAATATTACGAAGGTAAAGGAGCCGTAAAAGAGTAACGAAATAAGCGACAGTTTTGATAATCGGTGTGCGCGTTCGTTTTATGCCGACAAGAGAGATCGGGTCTCTCTACTTAGCGATGTGTTGAAGATATAAAGATGCTTCTGTCGGTATTTCATTCGTTGAGATCCTTCCTCGGTCGTTTGCCTCTATCCTCCCCTATCTTCTCGGCTTACCTTCGATCTATCGTAGATGGATGCAAACACGAAGGTAAGACACACGATACCTGCCTCGAATCTACCCGGGTCCAAGCGGGATCGATTGCCATAACGTATCTCTTTGCGTTAGATTTATTAACACGGATATATACGCGAGTAGGTATAACGTGCTCAAGATATATATTATATATTATATATATGTATGTATGTATGTATGTATGTACATATATATATATATATATCAATGATCAATTGTCTAAAATCTTTTTAAAACGAATATTAATTCATACATATTTACATAGGATAAATATATTCTTGAACTGGTATTATCGATCAAAGTTATCAATCAACTTCGTTAATCTAGATCGGATTAATCCTAGAAACGTCCAAATAATTTCTCATTCCATTGTAATGATCTAGCAGGAAAACGTCCAAACAACGTAAGCTTCATCATTGTCACTTGTTCGTTTCACTTGTTAACCTATCGATCGATCAATCCAATAATGCTATCGGTTAGCACGGTTAGTCTGTATCATCGATATGACCGATTATATCCAGGCCAGTTCCTTCCGATATCTTTGGCGGATCTAGAACCATCATCGTCGAATGGAGACGCGCGTTCGACGATGAATCGGCGGGATTAACTTGCGCCATGAAAATAAAGAGTAAGAGAAAGAGAAATAGAAAGAGAGAAAATCGTTTGAGGTTATTCGTCGAGGCTGATCGTCGAGGCTGATCGTCGAGGCAGATCGTCGAAGCTTGAAGGAAGAAGAAAAGACACCGACGTAGTCCTTCTCTCTCTCTCTCTCTCTCTCTCTTTCTCTCTCTCTCTCTCTCTCTCTTTCTCTTTCTTTCTCTCTTTTCTCTCTTCGCGTTCGCTCGGAGCTTGCGTGCCAGTCAGCATTGGCAAGTAATTTCTTGCACGCAATTGCCCGCTACTGGAATTGCCTGGTAGGCGACCTCAGTCCGTCAGTCATTTACTTTTTAAATCGATCCTACCTACCTACCTGCCTGCCTGCCTGTTTGGTTGGTTGGTTGCTTGGTTGGTTGGTTGCTTGGTTGCTTGGTTGCTTAGTTGGTTGCTTGCCTGCTTGGCTGTCTGTCTGTCTGCTTGCCTGCTTGCTTGCTTGCTTCTTTGTTTCCTTGCTTGCTTGCTTGCTTGCTTGCCTGCCTATCTGCCTACCTGTTTGCTTGACTTGACTGACTGACTATGGTGGCCGAGCGTGTGCGAGCACCACGCTGCACGCAAAATTTCCCAACGTCTAAAGCTTTAAAATGTCGATAAAAAGGATTATCCCTATAAACTTATCATTCTTCATATTCTAAACTATTCTAAGTTATTTTTGTATCATTGAATTTAATTCATTGACTTGGTCCAATCTATGTTCTCGATCGACGATCTAACACATCTTTCCCTTGACAGTCTGGATTTTTCTTAACCATATACTTCTGCAGGAAATTAACAAGATGAAACTTTTCATAAATTTTTGTAATAACGAAAATTTTGAGAATAGATAAACATTTGAGAATTTGTCTAATTTGGATCGATGATGGAATACCAATCATTTTATTGATCTGGAATTAGGGGAGATTGAAAATCTAATGGTTCGCAACAAATAAATTGTATTAAATATTTGCTATATATTAATAATAGAAAGAAAAAAAAAAGAAAAGAAAAAAGGAAAAGAAAAAACCAAAAGAATTTCAAAAGAATTTCAAAAGGATCTGTTATTTTCGATATAGTTTTATCTACTTGCCGCTCTCTCCTCTCTCTCTCTCTCTCTCTCTCTTTTTCTCTCTTTGTATTTCTCGTTAATAAGTTTATTATCGTTTACCGATATGTTTGTAATTTCTATGTTTGTAAAAAAATTTTTCAGTAGTTCGTAAGTTATTGAATGTAATTGAAAAATCGCATGCGTATTCATGGGCCTTGGATTCCTCAGCATTGATCTAAATACTTTAACGACTGTCTCCAACATCCATTACAGATGTAATATTAATATGACGTTATTGTGTGTTCTCTATACTTAAAAAAAATCGTTCTCGTTTATCCAACTTGTGGATAGTATATAGGTATGTATATATAATATATATATATATATGTAGCTAATCGAGAGAGAAAAGAAAAATGACTCGCACGAAAGGTATCATTTTGGGAAAGGAAATTGGTTAACTTTCGAAGGGTATAAATGTATCTCGTGTTCCGTCGTTCGCGATGTTATCGTATTAGCTTGATTCTCGTTTACTTCGAGACGAATGATCTTAATCTTCACGGTTATCCTTTCATTCTCTTTTGAAAGGCAATCGTAAGAGAGAAAAAAAACAAAAAAAAAAAAAAAAGAAAAGAACAAAAAAAATCAATCGTATCTTACGTTAACGCTGACAAATTTCATTTTATTCGAATTTAAAACGATTTATTCGTTGATTCGATGATACAAAAAGAAAAGATAAAACAATTACTTATCTATTCGTATTAACCATTTGCGATGGAAAGACGTGCCACGCACGTCGAGATGTTTCTGTTGCTGGAACGCCAGTGACGTGTTACACACGTCGTCAGGCGATTGTCACGGATAGAAGAATGACGTGCGTGGCACGTCAATCGTGAATTTCTTTTCGTCGTTAGTGATTAAAGAAAATCCAATGAAACTTTCATCGTTACATATTGAAATCAACGTAAAATCATTATCGTTATTTATTGTACGTTACCATCGAACGCGTGTTTTATCTACTCGTAGAAACAAATCGTCGGAGTTGATTCACGATCGTCCTCACACAGGCGTCCTCACACGAAAGGAATCGTTTTTTCAAAGACGAGATTAAAATTAGTCTGAAAAGAAACAAAACAAAACAAAAGAGAAAATAAAAGAAACAAAGAGAAAAAGAATATAGAAGGATTATCTTTAACAGAAAAGTGTGAGAGAGAGAGAGAGAGAGAGAGAGAGGATATATTTTTTTCAATCGAAGGTAGCAATAATAAATAATTACGTACTCATACGTTTTCTTTACAAAAACCGTTGCCGTTTTGCATTCGTGCACGAGAAGCAAGGAAGGAACTGGAAAACGAGAGAAACAAAATGACTCTATCTTAATCATCTGCCGTTAATGCTTTTCTAGAGCGAGCGTGAGTCGATCGTGGGAAAAGATCGAAAGAGTTTCTCGTTTATTTGAAAAATTGCGAGACAGAGAGAGAGAAAGAGAGAGAGAGAGAGAGAGAGAGAGAGAGAATGTACGAAAAAATTATTTAATGAACATCATAAATGATACGTATTCGATCGAATTAATAGAGCGTATAGATTGTTATTTTGTTTATATTAATAGAAATGTATTCCGTTCGATATGGAGAATTTCGCGAAAATGTAAACACAAGGAGCATAAGTAGTTTGATTTACCTCGTAACCGAATGAAAAAATTCAGAGAAAAGTTCACTTTTTAACAGACACATAAAGTAGATAATTAATTGATCGTACCTTTTCATATTTTCTAGATCATCATGTACAAGGATATATAATATTCGAATTTAATCGGAATATTTCGATCATTAGATTTTCTATTAAATCAAAATGCGCTATTATTAATTAATGAGAATAAATGTTTTATCTTCGTGGAAATCAATTTATCACGTACGATGTCGAATCATTGTCATTTACTTTCATCATTTTATGATTACTTTTTTTTTATCATACTATTTAGATCATCAACTATATAGTCCCAGTTTTCTTGGCACCCGTATAAACGAGAATAAATGAGTTTTAATATTCGTTCGTTCGTCCTTTTTTTTATAAAGTAATAGTACTAAAAAATTTATAGATATATAATATAATTAATTGTACTTTTACATATTTTTGAGATCATAGATTAAACGATCAATTTTGTTTAGGATCGTATATAAAAAAAAAGAATCAATCGAGTTTAACAAATATATTCGATCGTTCATTTTCATAAAATAATAATAAATCCAAATTAGATATTTTCCAAATCATCATTTATTACACGTACAAACGGAAGGGAATCGAAGATGAAAAAATACTTGATCATTAATTTTTCACAAAATAGTGAGATAGTTGAAATTTCATAATAGATAATAAATTGTACGATATTATAAATCTATTTAAAAAGAATAAAAAAAAAAAAAAAAAAAAAAAAAAAAAAAGAAAATGTAAACGCGTAAAATTTGAGATATAAACGTGAATTTTTCTGGTTTTGTTTTCTTTTTTTTTTCATTTTTTTTTTTTCGACAACGCAGTAACACGAATTTCTTTGATCGTCATCGTCGGTCGTCGTTGATCCTTCGTATTGCTCCTATGAGAAATCATCCAAACGCGAATAACCTGTTAAATATTTATCGACCAAGGAATATATCGCCAACACGGTCTAGGAAATGTTAGAAACGCCATTGCTAGTCGAAACCGACTCCAATCGAAGTTCAATACTTATGAAAATTTTCCTTTTAGCAGATTCCTAAGATAGGTCGTTTTTATCATGCGTCGCACTATCCCGTTTCGTTTCGACGTTCCTCAAAGTTACGTCAGATGGCAGCACTACACGCTTCGTTCATATCCTTTCGATCAATGAATTTTACTACTACGTTTCCTCTTTTTGTTTTTTTCTCTTTTCCCGTCTTCTTTTTTTTTTCTTTTTTTTTTTTCTTTCTTTCTTTCTTTCATACTACGAATTAAAAGAAAAGAGGATTGAATGGGAATGAACGTAAAAAAAAAAACGCGGGAGACCGGTCGTGTCTTTTTTATTCGCCTTTTTCGTTTCCTTTATTTATTTATTTATTTATTTATTTATTTATTTGTTTATTTTCTTTTTTTTTTTTCTTCTTTTCTTTTTCCCCATTTCTTTCTTTACCATTTTTCTTCACGATTATTTGTACCCTCGGATATCTTCGTAATCATGCGAATTAAATTTCAAATAGATATATCGATTAACATCGAATCGTAATGCCGATCATTTTATGATATATCTGACAAATCGAATTTGAATGAAACGTTTTTTGTAAAATTATCGTGAGAACGAATGAAAAAAGTTCTTCGTTCAATCTGAAATGTCAATTGAAAACAATTGATTGTTTATTACAATATAACGTTCGACGATATTGAAATTATAATGTTAAACGTATTTCGAAGAAGAATAATTAATATAAAATAATAATTGACGATTTGTTATGTAACATCCTGCATATGTTATCAACGAAATATTTTATTGCAATATATATATATATAAAATAAATAAGTAATTTTTTTTTTCTTCGAAAGATTAGCAAAGAGAGAAAAAAAATGTGATTTGGATTAGCGTAGAAATTTTGTAAAGGTAATAATTCGGACATCGGGTTTTCAGAATTTTTACCGTACGAATAATTCTTCAATAATAATTTGAAGTCATTTGTAATGTGGTATATAACGTAGTGGTAGCACGCACACACCGATATCATCCTGCGACATATTGTTGAATACATCAACGAGGGAAAACGTGATTGTAATTCGAACGAGGGGAATGGGGAACGTGGTTTCCTCCTCCTTCGTTGCTCGTTTAACGATAAATCCGTTAGCTATCATATCCTAAGGGAAACTCAGACATTCAAAAGAATCACGTGGATCATATTCACAAAAAAAAAAAGAAAAGAAAAAAAAGATATCTTTAAATAATTATTACAATATTTCCTGAATCTTTTATTTTACTTTCATAAAATAGATAAATTCATCGAATTGCCATTATTATTTCATATTAAATGCATTTAACGTTAATCGTATTTGATTTATTTAGTTTATAAAAATTTATGATAAGAAATATCTCTTAGATCGTTCAGTCATAGTTTCTTTTCTTTTTTTTTTTACAAAATGAACGTGCGTTTAGATTCTTGAAATAACATCACATTTTGACCCTGTGATAAGAAAAAGAGACAGAGAGTGAGAGAGAGAGAGAGAGAGAGAGAGAAAGAGAGAGAAAGAGACAGAGAGAGAGTGAGAGAGAGAGAGAAAGAGAGAGAGAAAGAGACAGAGAGAAGCCAATAGTAATTTTCCGTCGTTTAATAATACCTATTACGTCTACAATTTACTCCGTGTAATTAAAAGCATGGGATATATCCATGTCAAAGCCAGTAGATAGAAAACGTAGAAAGACGAAGGAATAACGCGACGGAATTAATTTTCGGTTTTGTGATATCGTGTAATAATAAAGTATCGTTTAAAGATAAGTTTGTTAAGTTTAAGGATTTACTTAGATCTTCGAGGCCTTTGAAAAATAATCCTTCCTTTAATAATTGATCTGATTGCTTTCGAAGAAAGTACTTTTAACCCGAACAGAATACCGTGATTAATAATAATAAAATTAATCTGGTTTTGATGGTTAATTATCTTACTTTTTCATCTTTTTTTCTCTTTTTATATATTTGTTTCTTTGATTTTTTTTTTTTATTCACCAATTTAAAGACTACGGATTATCCTTACCGATAGGAGAGAGAAGAAACGATTAATCTTGCTCTCTCTCTCTCTCTCTCTCTTTCTTTTTATCGAAAGATTATCATTATTTACGGTTTTCTTAGAAGAAAGAAAGAAAAAAAAAAGAAAAAGAAAAAAAACAGAGAGAAAGAAATACTAACGCAATAACAAAATACTTAAGATAATTCTTAATAATAATAAATTAAAACGGATATAAAACCAGAAAGAAAAAGATGAATTACCAGAAGTGGATTCTAACGTTGAAATGTTTTTTATTGATTTACATTGTATACGTCGTAAGAGCAGACGATCAATTAAAAGAGAAGAAAAATATAATTAATACGCACGATAATAAAAATCGAGATATAGTGATAGATTCGAGAAATGAACTAATAATACGGGCACCTGTAAGAAGAAAAATCATTTGTGAATATGACAGAAGACTGGACGCTTTTGGAAGATGTAGAAAGAAGTTGTAAATGAATATTATGATCGAACAATCATTACAAGGTATTGATAATGATCGACGAAATCTGTTTTTTCTTTTTTTTATGTATTTTTTCTTTTCTTTTCCTTTTTTTTTTTTTTTGTTCTTCCCTTTCTTTATTTTCAATCTATCTCGAGATATCAAAGTCTTCGAAACGAGATTCAACGTTTCAATGATGTTTATTATTTGACACGATATAAAATATATAAGTAATCGATTAAATTGATACAATAATAGTGAGGTAACTAACACGAATTAAATTAATTATAATCTAATAATGGAGCAACGAAATAATTAATTATTCGAAGGAAAAAAGGTATGTCATTGGAAAACTTGAGAGATGTTTTAATTACTGTTTGCACATTTATTAAGAACATCTGGGTAACTTAAGATAACGAAAAATTTGCAATTTCGGTCAGCTGTGGACCCCGTACGTTGCTGATAAGGGAAACGATAATTCGTTCCTTTATTTTTCTTAATTTCAATTTATTTAACAAAATAGTTTTTATCGTTTCGTATTATTGCCTTATATATATATATATATATATATATATATATATATATATATATATATTTAATTGGCTATTTCGTTTCATATCATTTCGTTTCTTATTTAAAATTTTTCGTGGAAAAGTAGTAGATAAAGAAGAAAAGGATGGAAGATTCGCGTTCGAGAAGCGTGTGACGTGTTCACAGGGAACATGGAAAGAGATCGATTCTATCGACGCTTACTTATCGGATTTTTTCGTGTCGATGCTCGTCCATTCGAGAAACGACGAATGTCGCAAATGTCGTCCGATAAACTCTTCCGCTTAGAGACACGCATTAGCCAAGAGATAAGCCGACCTTTCTCTCTTGCTCTCTCTTTCTCTCTCTCTCTCTCTCTCTCTCTCTCTCTCTCTCTCTCTGTCTCTTTCTTGCATATCAAATGTATAAGTTTTCAGTACAAGGTTATATTTATAATAAAAACTCATAATGAGATTTAAAAAAAAAAAGTATTTCCCGTTTCCATCAAGAAAGAGAGAGAGAAAGAGAGAAAGAGAGAGAGAGAGAGAGAGAGAGAGAGAGAGAGAGAGAGAGAGTTCTTATTCCTCTCATGTTTTTTTTTTCCTTTATTCCCTTTTTTCTTTCATTATTTTTAACTTTTTATTATCCCACGATAAATACGAAAACATTGTTAAGGATGGCAATTAGTGCCTAACATAAGTACCGCCGAATATTTTATCGGACAAACAGAAATAGGTTATAGAGTCGTTAACGAACCCCAATGGAAACGAACACGATGATAATCGGTAATTACACAAAATAACACGCTTCGTCGATTGTCATCGGCGAGAAGACCACGCGTTACTTTTTATCGTTTCTCTCTTTCCCTCTTTCCCTCTTTCCCTCTCTTTCTCTCTCTTTCTCTTTCTCTTTCTCTCTCTCTCTCTCTCTCTCTCTCTCTCTCTTTCTCTCTGTTTATCATTTACCATTCGTCCACGTTAATTACTTTTTGCGATTCGTCCTAATTTTCGTATTCGGTTAAATTCGTTTCGTAGTTGATAACGATGAATTCTGTTTAAAAGAATTAACGAAGACGTATCTTTGGTAAATACCAAATTTTCGACCTTTTACGTTAAGGATCGATAAAACTAACGAATTAACGTACGTACGAACGAACGTTCCTGAGATTATCGCGTGGATTGAAATAGTTCAAAATTGTTCGTAGAAATTCACTTTGGTATAATAATCTTAGCCTTTATCTTTGATTAGTAAAAAAGATTATCTTTTTTTGTAAAGAATAAATGGATACAAAAATGAAAAATCGATCACAGACATATATATATATATTATATTATTTGAACATAAATATAATACATCACGACATTTTTTTTCCTTTTTTATTTTTTACTCTTTCTCTCTCTCTCTCTCTCTCTCTCTCTTTATCTTTGATGATTTTTACAGAAACAAAGAAGCTTCGACCGCTTCATTTTACCAAGAGAAATAAAGATCGAAATAGAGATAAAGATAGACAGAAAGAGAAAGAGAGATCGAGAGAGAGAGAGAGAGAGAGAGAGGAAAGTCAAAAAGAAAATTTTTACTTCCTATATTTACAAAAGGGAAACATTTCAGTTGAACGGAAGCTAGTCTCTTTCGCTAAAAGAAGAACCAAGTCGAGCATGATGTTCGTTCTTCCTTAACAAAAAAAAAATAAAAAAAGAAAAATAAAAAGAACAAAAATGAATAGAGAAAAAGAGAGATAAAGCGACACACAGAGAAAGAGAGAGAGAGAGAGAGAGAGAGAGAGAGAGAGACAGACAGAATATACATCGACACTTACGTACGCACATATAGACATATACATACTTTACCTACGTATGTACTTCCGTTATCTCGAAGAGAGAATGGAAATACGTTCGGATACGATAGAGTGACTGTTCGAATAAGAACGAAAAATATTCTCCTTCTTCGATAAAACCGTCGAGACTTTTTTCTTTTTTCTTTTTGTCTCTTCTTTTCTATCCTCCTTTCTTTCTTTTTTTTTCCTTTCTCTCTTTTTTATTTTTTCTTCCCCTCTCTCTATCCTGTTTTTTTTTTTTTTTTATTTTATTTTATTTTCTTTCTTTCTTCCTTCTTTCCTTTTATCTGTCCGCTCTCCTCTCCCTTTTTTTTTATCGCACGTACGTTTGACATTCCAACCAAGTTTTCCTTCTTCCTCTTCCTTCTTCTCGTGCGTCGACTTGTTTTTAAAGATGGAGAGACAGACAGCTTCCTCCTCTTTTTTCTTCTCTCTTCCCCTTCTCTCCCTCCTCCTGTCACTCTTTCTCTCTCTCTCTCTCCCTCTCTCTCTCTCTCTCTCTCTCTCTCTCTCTCTTTCTCTTTCTCTTCCTATCGACTTTTATATTTCAGCGAGAATGTGCTACAGTACATATACATATATAAATATATATACATATATGAGCTCGATCATTTTAGTACACTTATAAACCTACATGCTTATATACATATAAATATACATATACATATACATATACATATACGTAGGTATCAATCATTTTCTTAGGACATGAAAATTCGTTGGACATAAGCCTGCGTTTGCATTGAGAGGGTATCACGCGATATCGAGGTATAAGTCTTAAAATACGCGTGATATAAGACGTGAGAGCATTTAAATATCTACAAAGTTAACTTGGCCTTCAGAAATGTAGACATTGATAAGCGTTTTATACTTCCCGATAGTCAGTAACACGAAGAAAACGAGTAAAGCGCGTTGTTAGTTCTCCTTTCTCGATTTTGATCGTCTCGTTAAAAAGCTATATACTTTTATAACTTTTCATCGTTTCGTTCGTTCAGTTCGTTCGTTCCGTTCGTTCGTTCGTTCGTTCGTTCAGTCGTTTTTCTTATTTTCTTTTCTTTTCTTTTTCTCTTTTTTTTTTTTTTTTCTTAATTTCTTTTTTATCTGTTTCATTTTTTTTTTCTTTTTTCTTTTTTTTTTCTAATTCGAACGCGAAACCTAAACCAACAACATTTTAATTTGCATCATCCAATTGATTCAGATAAATTGAACCGACCGACATTACGATCATTATTTAATTATATAACATACGATGGAGATGATACGAGAGCCAATTATATTTAAGACTTTGAACATTTTTATAAATTTCAATTCGTATTGTAAAGTATTCCCCCTCTCCCTATCTCTCTCTCTCCCTCTCTCTCTCTCTCTCTCTCTCTCTCTCTCTCTGTGTGTGTGTGTCTCTCTCTCTCTCTCTCTCTCTCTCTCTCTCTCTCTCGCTAAGAAAAACTTACAGAAATATATCACTTATCCGGAGTTTCTTGGAAATGATACTTCATTCGAGTCTCGCGTGTTTATTTTAATTCGTACGATCGTCAAAGACTCAAAGATTAGAAAATCAATTATCTCTCGGATCGATCGAACGAATTTTCTTAATTGAGTTGTAAATATAACATGGAATGAGATTTATTGATTTAATAGAAAATAACGTACTATCGTTTGTGAACCGGTGCTTTTTGTTTGTGCGAGAGAAAAAAAGAGAGTGGTAGAGAAAGAAGGTGAAGAAAAGAAAGAGAGAGAGAGAGAGAGAGATAAAAATAAGAAGTAATAGAACAAGAATATTTAATTCGTACGGAAGAATACGAAATCAGTTATAGCGGATCATTTAACGAGAATGAAGCTAATCAAGTTTGATTTCCTTTTCCTTTTGTTCTACATTATTTCATTGATTATCGGCATCTCGTCGATACCAACGGAGAAGTCGAAAGAAACTAAAAGCTTCCGGCCCTTCGGTCAGAACAGCGTCCAGAAATCAACTATGATCAACGTGCCATTGCATTGTCCACCGGATAAAGTACGAATCGGGAATCGTTGTAGATTAGTCTTCTAAAATCTACATATGTAGGTAAGCACTGGCTGCGACAATGTTTTCCATTATTAACGCCAGTGTCGATTACATTGTAAAAATTAAAATATATTTTTATAAATATATTTTTACAAATAGTACATCGGTTTTTCATCTAATATTATATTTGATTTAATATTTTTCTTAACGTTTTCAAAAAAATAATATATATGTATATATATATATATATATATATATATATATATATATACATATGTGTGTATGTATGTATGTATGTAACATAGATAATAATAATATATAGAAAAATATGACGTAGAAACGTTCCTTTGTAACGTGATACGTCGCCCTTTAAAAAGGGTTTCTCTTACCTTTTGTAAAATATAAAAATATAATATTTCAAAGGTATATAAAAATGGTGATTCTCTCTCTCTCTCTTTTTTTCTTTTTTTTTCTCTCCATCAGAAAAGAGCTCCTAATATGGTACTATTACTAAAAAAAGATTATTTTCTAATATTAATCAAGCTTATGGTTAATTGATCCTTTCAATTAAATATATCCTTTTCATGGAATTTCTTTTTATTTTTTACTTTTTCACAAAGACAAAAATGAGATACGACTGAAATCGAGTCCTTCTATTTCTATGAGATATTTCAATTGTAAAATTTGAATGATAAGAATCAATAAGTTTTCAAAAATAGAAATGACGATAAGAACCAAAGAGCATAGTTGAAATTTCATGTTGATTATCGAAGATATATAAGTTCATATTCATGTTCATATATAATACATATAAGATGTATGCGTTTGAAATCGCGTGTAAGTAAATAAGTAAGTAAGTAAGTAAGTAAGTAAGTTAGTAAGTACGTTCACATGTATACGTCGGGCAGGAAGTACGCGATAGACGTTTCCGTTGTCGAACATTTCGTATAGCTACAACAACGCTCTTCGACGCGTCTGGGTTAATCATGGGGAAGCAATTTTGAACGATTTTGCATTAATTGGCCCTTTCCCTCAACCCCCAACCCCTATCCTACTCCACCCTCCACATATATCCAACCCCATACCCCTACCCCTTAATTTCACGAACGAGTCATCCTACGGGTGAACGATCGCTAGATGAAATTTAATGTCGATCGATTTTTCCCCAATGATCTTTTTCATTTTTTCTTCCTATCTTTCTTTCTTTCTTTCTTTCTTGCTTTCTTCTTCTCTTTTCTTTTTTTCTTTTTTTTTTCTTTTACTTACTTTTTCCTTTTTAATAGCAAACTTTCAATAAAATAAAAAAGCAGTTCAAATTTTTCTTCTTCTTCTTCTTCTTCTTTTTGTTTTTAATTTTGTTTTTTTTTTTTATTTTCTGTTTCTTTTTTTTTTCACTTTGATTGTCCCTCGATCTTTCATTATCCATATACTTGCTTGTTTTTTCCTTTTTCTTCTTCTTCTTCTTCTTCTTCTTCTTCTTCTTCTTTTCCTTTTAATATTTATCCTTACGAAACTAACGCCGATAGATGAGGATTTTTTTTCTTTCTGTAATTTTTCCTCTTTTATAATTTTTTTTTTTTCTTTTTCTTTTTTTTCTCGAACCGATAATTTCACGGTTGATAACCATCGAAATTTTAACGGCTTATCGATTTTTATCTCGTACAAAGTCCTATCTCTATCGGTTAGAAAAAGATCGTTTATGAATATGTTAGAAATATCGAGCTAATATCACTTATGCCAATCATATTGTCCTCTTGAATTGCATTGCAATATCATCGGTCGACCGACCGACAGTTAGCTATAGGATAAATCGATATTACGTTTTTCCCCTCTATCGTCGATACGTGGTAGACAGTGTGGGTGAGTGGGATATGGTGAGGGGTAGGGAGGCCTATGTCGATCAGTGACCGAACACTGCCATGAAACGCGATGAAACTAAACGATCAGGAAGAAGGAGGGGAGGGTGGGCTGGCCTAATTTGTCTAAAGAAAAAGAAAAAAAAAAAAAACGAACTAGAAGCATCCATTTCAACGAAGTTACTCAATGCTTTCTAAGCAAGTACATGAGTACTTGCTTAAGTATCAATCTCGTACGTAAAAACTAACGATAACGAAGAAAAAAAAAATATATATATATATATAGAAATCGTAGAGATAAAAATGAAAAAAAAAGAAAAAGAAAGAACGAAGATAATCTATTTCCCGGAGTCTTTTAAATCAATGTGATTCTCTTCGAAAAGGGTCAACGAAAAAAATGAAAAAAAAAAAAAAAAGAAAAAAGAGGAAGAGACAGACAGAGAGAGAGAGAGAGAGAGAGAGAGAGAGAGAGAGAGAGAGCACGTTTTTAAAAATTCTCAGACGTAAAAGATCAACGCAGAACTTACACGTAAATGGACGTGACTCGTACGCGTATCTATACGTTACTATGAAAAAAAGCTCTTACACATTACTACTAGATGCATGGACCAACTAGGGCACGACCTACAACGATACGCTTTTGTGAATGATGGACTTTTAGCTATGTATGTTGCTATCGGGAGAACTCGAACACCATCGAGTATTACTTCATTCAATTTGCATTCGATCGAGTCTCTCTCACTCTCTCTCTCTCTTTCTTCATATATATATGTATATATGTATATATACATATACATAGACATACACACACATGTATACGTATATGCATTGCATCCTTGCCAGAAAATTCTATGACCCAACGTAGATTGATTATCGCGATCCTTTTTTATAAGATGACATTGAATCACACTGAGTTAATTTCTCTTTGATGAATCTTTCTCGCAAGGGAGTTCTCTTCATTATTTCTTTTTTTTCCTTTTTTTTGTTTTTTTTTTTTTTTTTTTTATTTTACTTCTTTTTTTCACCGAAAGAAATCGAATAGTCAGTCGTTCTCGATGAACACTTTTTTTTTTTTCTTTTAAAAGTGAATCTTCTAGTAAGATTTGGAATATAAGGGGATGGCGATTGTGAAAGGGTAGAGAAAGGAAGATAATAATAACAATTAAAAAAAAAAAATAAAAAGAGGACAGAAAAGAATTGAACAAAATGACGACGACGACGACGACGACGACGACGACGACGACGACGGAAAGAAAGAAGGAATGAGAGAGAAAAAAAAAAAGTAAAAATAAAAAGAAATACACGTCGGATCGACTTGAATCGAATTGATAGTCGACGAACTGTTTGCTTGTTTGTTTTGTTTTGTTTGTTTGCTTGTTTTTTATTCTTTTTTTTTTTTCTTCTTACAGATAGACGGAAGAAACTCATCGCTCTCTCTCTCTCTCTCTCTCTCTGTTCGTTTCTGCCCATCGCATTTCTCTCGTTTATATCGTCAATACCAAAAGTCTGACTATATAGAATGAAGATATTCTTGATTCCGGACAACACGGCGGCGAGAAGAAAGCCAATCAAGCAAGCCTCGAAATGCTTCCTTATCGATCGAGCTCTTCCTCTCTCTCTCTCTTTATCTTTCGCTCTATGATCACCATGATAACAGTATCAAGGAATGAAGATGATGTTCAAATTTTAAAATGGAAAATCGTCGGAGAGAAATCATAAAGAAGAAGAAGCAATTGAATATCGAATTGAAGAAGAGTATAAAATTGATAGATCGCGAACTTTCTCTCTCTCTCTCTCTCTCTCTCTCTCTCTTTCTCTTTCTTTCTCTCTCCTTCTCGTCTATTATGTAGACTAATATTGTTCATCGTAAATCTGTTCATTGTAAATTTTTTTTCGAAAGAGACATGACTTTTTCCCAATATATACTAATTTATATTTACGCATATAAAAGTATGTAATACATATATATATATATATATAAGAGAAAAAAGAAATATATATATATGATACATATGTATATTTTTGTTTTGTTCTTTTTCTTTTACTTTTTTCCTCTTCTACCTTTCATTCTTTCTTTCTTTTTAAAAAAATATTTCAATGTAAATAAAATTTCTTTATGAGAAAATTAATACATTGCTTTTAAATTTAAATATTTCCGCGTGAAATTGTACGTATCTACTATACCGACGATGAAACATGTCGGCGTTGGATGTATCGCACGTTGATAGGAAAGCTAGAGTAAACGGAGCAATGATATCAATTCTTTAGATCGTTGGTTACATTTCACATACAATTTCCCAAAATATATATTTATATGTATACATATTCATATATATACATATATATATATATATGTATGTATATATATGTATGTATGTACATAGAGACATAGACGTCATACATTTAATATAAATTATTAGCGGTAACGATATCATTAATCATTATTCAAGTCAGGTATAATTTGCATTCGTTTACCAAAGTCCAACGTGAGAAGATTAGATTATTTTCAATAATTCAGCATTTTGTTAAATGATCAAGACGAAAATAATATTGACTGCAGCTCGCTCAGAATAATAATATTCGTTGGGTGGCGGAGTGGGGCGGGTCGGGGGTGGGGGGAAGGTTGGATGGAGGAGGGGGGGGTTGGAGAGAGAAATAACTGGCAGAGAGGGTGTTTTACTATTAAACGATCTTATTATTAAAATGAATTATATGTAATGACGTTAATAAAAGGGTAGATATTATATTATATCGAATGATTAAACTTAAGCCATAGTTGTGTATAATTTTCTCTAATACCTCGTTTAATAAATTTAAACGATTCGAGGAGAGAAACGATTTAACATATAATCTTTTTCTTATTAAACGTATAAAACCAAATTCTATCATGATTTTAATTTTATTAAGTTATTCGATGTATTTTATAAACCACCATGTCATAAATTATTATGAAAATAATTATGTACGTGTGTATGATAAATTCTCATTCGATTTCTAGTTAAACATTTTGAAACCGCAAACTATAATAAAGTCATAAGAAAGTTTTTAACAGGAAAAAGGAAACCACGTTAGTTGGGTTAATAAATGCGTCACTTCATCGAGCGACAACGCGTTTATAATAACTTGATGTTCTAAAATAATTTCCATTGTATTTTCATTGTTAAAGCGACCAAGTAATAATAAAATCGTCTACTTTTGTCAAAATTAATAGTCGATGGGAAAATGACGTAAACATAAGAAATAAAGATAAGAAAGAAATTTACAAGGAAAGAAAAAGAAAAAAGAGGAGAAAAAATTGTTCCATCGTTTCAATTCAGATCGAGTTAATATCCTTAAGTATGGTGTGAAAGAGGATAACGATAACTACAAGAGAGAAAGCTATAAAAAGGAAAAAAAAAAGAAAAAAAAAAAAAAAAAGAAAAAAAGAATAAGAAAAAGAGAAAAGCATGATATCCTTTCGTTTTTTTCTAATCGTCATCCTTCTGTCATTGACGTTTCGGCTTGGAACTGAGGCCTTTTCGTGGATCATTCCGATCAGAAAAAGAATCGAAAGCCATTCTCGATGTCCGAATGGATATAAAATGGATGTTCGCGGGAAATGTCGGCGCGTTTTATATAAATATTAAGGTATGTATACACGTGAATGTCTATACAGATGCATCGCGCGAAAATAACGAGCGACAAATATCGTATCGATTATAAAATTGAATTTTTTATCGGCTTTTTTCTTTTTCTTTTTCTTCTTTTTTTTCTTTTTTCTTTTTTTTTTCTTTTTTTTTTTTTCTTTTTTTACTCCCACAAGTGAGCTTCGATTTTTTTTTCCAAGCTTAAAACGAAACATTCAAAGGACAATATGACGAGCTACGTTTTACGAAAATTTTTCAAATTTTACAAAACCTACGAAAGTTTAATCGATAAATCGATTAGACATAAGGTTTTTTAATATTTAAAATATATATTTCCATGATAATTAAATTGAACGCCATTAAAAATGATAAAATTTGATATGGCTTTAGATCAATAAATAATTTACTAATTACCAATTGGTTAATTTAATTTTGCTAAGTTAGATTAATGTCACTAAGTAAATTCATTATGTCTTTAATAATACATTCTAGAGCAACAAAAACAAACAAACAAAAAAAAAAAGAGAAAAGAAAATGTAAAAATGTTTTTATATATATTAAAAAATCAAAATAATAATTTACACATATGTAAATTTAACAATTTTCTCTATTAAGTTTCTTTTTTCCTTGTTTTTTTTTTTGTTTTTGTTTTATGTAGAATCAATCATCTCGACAAATGAACGATTGCTCGACAAATGAACGATATACGTACGATACTGAGACTTTGGTTCAATTTTCAGTTCGACCATTTTTTTGTTCTCTTTTTTTTTTTTACTTTTCTTCTTTTTCATTAACTTTTCATTTCTGTTTTATATAGGTTTAAGAAAGAACGAGATGGTACCAATCGGAGTTTGAAAATCATAGAAGGTGAACGCTCAACATTAGAAGGACGTTATTTTATCTCTTATTCATTTAATAATGTATCCATCGTATCAAAATGGTATATAAAAATCATTATGAGTTTTTTTTTTATTCTTTCTTCTCTCTTTTCCTTTTTTTATCGTTGAATTTTTCTTACAACGAACTGCCTTTCCATCTTTCTCGTTTGATAAGAATCCTCATCGAGATTGTTCTCTAATATTGTTTCAAACTATAACCAACCGTTAGAAGTAATTCGTTTCTTTCTTTTTCTTTTTTTTCTCTTTTTTTTCTCTTTTTTTTTTTTCGAAGTTTTCCTTCTCCTTCTTCTTTTTCTCCAATTTTTTTTTCTCTCCTCTCTTCTCTCTTCTTTTTTCATTTTGTACAACTTGCAGGTATACCTTTAAAAAAAACATTTTGTAAGTTTTACCACTCTTTATTGTGTAAATAATATGAAGTTTACGCAAGAAGACAAAGACAGACAGAGAGAGAGAGAGAGAGAGAGAGAGAGAGAGAGAGAGAGAGAGAGAGACTCGTTCGTTGGTTGCCATATAAAGTGGAAAATAATTGCGCGAAAACTCGACTTTAAGAAGACGGAAAAATATTCATTATTTTTATTCGAAGAAAAAGATTCTTCTTTTATATATATCTTCTATTTTTTTTTCTTTTTTTTTTTTTATTCTTATCAGTGAAACGCATTCGATCATAGAAAGATATAATCGTTGCTTAAAAAATTAGATCGACCTGTAATGATCGCCGATAAAAAGTTGGTGTCAATTTTTTTTTTTTTTTTTTTTTTTTCATTGAAAATCAACTTTGTTGAAGAAGAAGGAGAAAGAAGATGAAGAAGAAGAAGAAGAAGAAAAAGAAGAAAAAAAAGAAGAGGAAGAAAAAGTAGAAAAAGAAGAAGAAGAGAAAGAGAAGGAGAAGGAAGGGAAGATAGGAAGGAGATAGGAGTAGGAGGAGGAGGAGGAGGAGGAGGAGGAGGAGGAGGAGGAGGAGGAGGAGGAGGAGGAGAAGATTGGAACGTCAAAATGTTTTTATAATATATAATAAGTATGTACGTAATATAGGTCCCTTCTCGCTCAGATATAAGTATTCATAGAATAAATAGAAACTCGTATCGTTCTTTAAAAAGTTATCGAAATTGGATTGCGTCTTTTATAAAAAAAAAAAGGTGGGGGGTGAGGGGGGGAGGGGGGGGAGAGATAAATAAAAGTAGAAGAAAAAAAAGTGGAAAAAAAAGAAATCGAAAAGAGAAGAAGAAGAGGACGAAGAAAAAGAATAAAATAGGATAAAAGAGATGATCGCGTTGGACTGTCCATGACGATGTAAATTCTCCGAGAGGAGATAAATCGTGCACTTTTGACCTTTGTGAGAGCGATACGCTTTGCCGAGAGGTCGGTCAAAACTCAAAAGAGAGAAAGAGAGAAAGAGAGAAAGAGAGAGAGAAAGAGAGAGAGAGAGAGAGAGAGAGAAAGAGAGAGAGAAAAAAAAGAAAGAAAGAAAGAAAGGAGAGAAAGAAGGAATAGAAAAGAGAGAGAGAGAGAGAGAGAGAGAGAGATACGTACGTACGGAGAAGCCAGTAGAAGAGTTTCGATCGTACTCTTTCGCTTCTCGAGTGCGAGCTCTCTCCTCAGTATCTTTGTTCGAGTCTGTCGTGAATGAGATCCGGTACTCGAGTTAGAAGCGCGTTTATTACGTAGTGTAGACGATAAAGGTTGAACGAATTCTTGGGTGATCATCGAAAGTACCAGAAATAACCGAGCAATCGTCTCCCTCTTCCTCTCTCTCTCTCTCTCTCTCTTTCACTCTTTCAGTCTGTCTGTTTATTAGTCTATATCTCTATCTCTCTCTCTCTCTCTCTTTTTCTCTCTCTCTTTCTCTCTCTCTCTTTTTCACTGACTATCTGTCTGGTTGTTCTCTGTACGTCCATCGTCATCGTTTCTCTTCTTCTTTAATCTAAACTCAGGTACATTCTTTTTCTTGTCTTTTTTTTTTGTTCTCTTTCTCTTTTTCCCCTTTCTACTCGAAAGATTTGCGATTGTTTATTTAACATTTATTTTGTTTTTTCTTCTTTTTTTTTTTTTTTTTTTTTTATTTTATTCTCTATCATCTCCCCACTATTCTTATCTTTTTACGCAACGAAAAACAGTCGTCAAACGAATTAATTCGATATTTCATCCATCCATACGTCATTTAATTTTTTTATTGTCTCTTTTTCTTCTCTCTCTCTCTCTCTCTCTCTCTTTCTCTTTATCTTTCTTTTAGTCATCTTTCTCTTTCTCTTTCTTCTTTCTTTCATCTACCCTTCCTTTCTCGTAACCGTCCAATGAATTTAGTAAAAGACGCCTTTTGATTTTCCTAAGAAGAAAGAATCATCCCTTCTCTCTCTCTCTCTCTCTTTCTTTCTTTCTCCTCTTCTCTCTCTCTCTCTCTCTCTCTCTCTCTGTCTGTCTTGAGTTATCGCTACTCACCGTTGAAACCCCGAAGAGTTAATTCGATGTTCAGCGAACCCTTATTCGTCCTTCTTAAGTTCTCTCTTTGGCTTGCCTGCCTGCCTGCCTGCCTGCCTGCCTACTTGCCTGTCTGTCTGTCTGTCTGTCTGTCTGTCTTACTTCCTTCCGTTTGAAAAATGAAGCTCTCCCTCTCTCTCCGTCTACTCTTTGGGCAAAGTGCCGCGAGCCTTTTCTCTCTCTCTCTCTCTCTCTCTTTCTCTCTTTCTTTCTAACGTGGTTTCTTCGACAAAAAGAGAGAAAGAGAGAGAGAGAGAGAGAGAGGGAGTGTGGGTGGGAAAATCTATTTTCAGATTCACATTCGCGATGAAAATCGATAAGCAGATGTATTGCTTTATTCGCATCGTATATTTATCGAATAGTAGCTATGTGTATTATTAGAAGAAGATATCGTGCACATCGAAGGGGAGGGTGGGGGTAGGGGGGAAGGATACGATATTGTGTAGGAGGAGGGATGGGATGGAGTCGGAGCGGAGAGGGACGTGGATAAGCGAGATGAGAAATTTTCTTCTCTTTTCTCCCACTTCGACAATATCTAACCAACGTAACACCTTCCTTCTTTTTTCATCCCTTTTCTCTCCTTTCCTCCCTTTTCTCCTCTCTTCTTCTTCTTCTTCTCTTCTTCTTCTTCTTCTTCTTCTTCTTCTTCTTCTTCTTCTTCTTCTTCTTCTTCTTCTTCTTCTTCTTTCTCCTTCCTACGAAATATATCCTTAAGAATAAATGTTTCTCCACTTTTCCTTCACGTGCTATCGCATTTTCTTCGTTAAAAGAAAACTCCAACGTGGATTCTTCTCCTACTACTAAAGATATACCTACTACTACCTCTCTCTCCTTGTGCTTGATTCCAACGAACAATGATCGATCGTACACAATTTATACATACATATATAATACCTATGTACATACTATTATATATATATATATATATATATATATATATATATATATATGTATGTAGATACATGAATACATATCCTGAATTCCATTAATTTGAAAATTTCGAATAGGGAAGCTGTTAAGAATTCGAGAAATTTCAAATATCTCCATGTAGAGATTCGACGAAGGTTCATCATTTTTTTCCTTTTGATTTTCTTTTTTTTTTTTTTTTTTTTTTTTCCCAATACCTAAACAATAACACATACACACAAATATCTAATAATATCTAAATAATATCTTTCAATATCTAAACAATAACACATAAATATATATAAATATATATGTATATATGTATATATATATATATATATATATGTATAGGTCTATAGTTATGTTAAACGATAAAATATACGTAGGTACATACGCATCTGAGATCAATCATATCGTCTTATCATGTACTTAGGTAAAACGACGTTATCCTGTCTATTTACCAGCGGGATCAAAATCAAATTGGAAAAAATGGGTCTTACGAAACGTCATCTTCGTCTCTGTTGGTACATTCTCATTCTCGCTGTATTGACGTATCCGTCGGAGGAAGAAACGATAAAACGTACGAAACGTTTTCAATGGGACAAAATCGAGGAGACGGCCAAAAGGATAACTAATTCCATATCGACGAAATTAACTACGATCTTTAATCGTCAATCCAACGTTAAATCGAATATCAAAATGGAAGAAGATTCATTAAGTACGACCACTGTTTTACCGAGCATCGAATCCCGACAGATCATCGTAGCACCGATTAGGTGTCCACCTAATCACGTGGTCATCAATGGAAAATGTCGTCTCAATATCGAAGCAGTATGACAAGGTACACGCAAAAATGGTAACTACGACGACGACGACGACGACGACGACGACGACGACGACGACGTCAACGACAATTTTGTGAAAGAGAAAAGTTAAGAATTAAAAAAAAAAGAAAAAAAAAAAGCTCCATCTTCCCTTTAAAAAAAACATACTTGACCTCTTCCCCCCCTTATCCCTCCCTAGCCCACAATACCTGTCAAAAGAGAAAAAGAAAAAAAAAAACAAATAATACAATGATAATAATAATATCTATTTTTATTTTCCAAGAAATTACACAAAACTCACCGGATTCCACGTTATTCGAGGTAAATTCCTTGTAAATTCGATATCGTTTGGTATAAACTTCGATAAAATCGTACTGGCGCGAATTGAAATTCCATCTGAATTCGATAGACGCGAAAATAAAAAACGAATGAAAGAGTAAGCGAACAGAAGAAAGAAGAGATAAAGAGAGAGAGAGAAAGAGAGAGAGAGAGAGAAAGAAAGAGAGAAAGAAAAAAAATAATTTAAAAGTATATAATACTAATGAATAACTCGATGAATTAAAGTTCGATAAACGTTCATTATTTCCGTATTTCTTAACGTTCCGTCGTTCCTAGAGAGAGAGAGAGAGAGAGAGAGAGAGAGAGAAAGAAAAGAAAAAAAAAAGAAAGAAGAAAAGAAAAAGAAAAGAAAAATAAAAGAATGCAAAAGAAAAAAATACAATTTCATTGAGTACAATTTCATTCCGTGTATGAATAAAAGGTCGCATTGGCTGTTATCATCGATACGCGTGTTCGAAAAATGCAGACCTTTCCTGTCATCGGTTGGCTCGCCATTGCTAGTCGTATACTCGCAATAAATTTCATTAAACGCGTGCTAAATGCTTTATTTATAACTACGAAACTCGACCATAAATAATTCCTCCCTTGACGCTGGTCGTATAGCTTGTTTGAGTGGAGAAGAAGAGAGAGAGAGAGAGAGAGAGAGAGAGAGGGAGGGAGAGGGAGGGAGGGAGAAACTGAAAGAGAGAAAGAAAGAAAGAAAGAGAGATTGCGCGTGTACGGTATGACGCTGAAACGGTGATATTAATTCTAAAAAAGGAAAAAGCTCATAATTGCATCGTATGTTCGCGTGTCGTTATATTTTTATGCAAGCACGCTCAGCGTACACGTAAACACACATAAATGCATGCACGAACGCACGGACAACGATCTCAATCGCACATCCACATGCCCATATATATATATATATATATATATATATATATGTATGTATTATATTATTATTAGTTCGTCATAGAGTAAATTTTAATTCACATTTTCTCGCGTAATAAATTGTCTGGATAAAATGATACTAAGGAACGTGGACCGATTCGTAAGAGCGGCTTAAATATTTAAATAAAATACGAGCCGAATTAACGTAATCGCTAATTACACGAGAAGAAGGATTTGAAAGTGTTGGTGGCCTGCAAGTCACGGTGGTGATTGTGCTTGGTGGTGGAAGAGGACGCGTGCCGCCTCCTTCGTAGACCTACTTACTCACGTATTCGAGTCAGCTAGATTTTGTACTCATTGTCAGAAGTAGTCACCCCTCGACACTTGTTGCTTGCAATCGACATTTGTCTGCCGCCACTGTGTTTTCACCTTATGCATTTCCTTCTCCTTCTCCTTTCTCCATTTCCTCACCTCCTCATCTTTTCTTCGATCCCTCTTTTGCTCCATCATCCCTTATCCCTTTTCGTATTCCCACAGCCTACTCGTCGTTGTCGCCTTTACAACGACTGTTGTCAACTCTGAAAATGTATAAAGCGAATTGCGTTTTATGAATCGTCTTGCTTTTTACTCGTTGAGTATATTTTGTGTGTGCGCGCGACTCTCTCTCTCTCTCTCTCTGTGTATGTATGTGTATATATATATATGTGTGTATGTGTGTGTGTGTGTATATGTGTATCGTACATATTTCCTTTTTCTCTTTTTATCATTTTTTTCTCTCTCTCCATTTCGACAGCAAATGTTTTCGACGATCTTTCTAGCGAACGGAAGACGGTCTTTCTCTCCCTTTCAAACATTCTCTCTTGTTTCTCGAAACGCGACAGACGTTTAATTCTTTTTCCCTTTTTTCTTTTTTTTTTTTCCTTTTTTTTTCTTTTTCTTTTTATTCCTCCCTTCCGACCGAGAGAGACACTTCCAATGCAACGTCATTATCTCTATATCCAAAGAAAGAAATACACTAGTCGTACCAAATCGGATACGATATTTCTGTTCAGATTTTCGAAGCGTTACTGTTCTTCGATCGATCGAAGCTTCAATCGATTTTTCTCTACCTACACATCGATCCATCCATCCATCCATCCATCCTTCCATCCATCCATCTATCTATTTATCTATCTATCTATAAATAATGTTTGAAATTTGTTGGCAAATATCCATTATTTAGTCGGAAAGCGTAAATAGGTTTGGTGACATTTTTCGACACCTACGACCGAAAAAGGTTGACTACCTAGCGGTGATTATCGTCGCATTAAGCGAACCGTCCATCCTGTTCCTGTACACCCGAACAAACAATTTTATTTGCACGTACGTTAGTTTCCCAAAGCTTTTGAATTGAGCGAACGAGAAAGCAAGCAAGAGAGAGAGAGAAAGAGAGAGATAACATCGATCGGAGAACGTCCTGTTTGATGTGGTAAACTGTCTCGTCGATGGACGTATGAAAAGGTTAGAGAAAATTTTTATAGAAAAAGAAAAAAAAGGAAAAGAAAATTCGAAGATGAACAATGGTACGACAATCGAAGTTTCTTTTTTCTTTTTTTTTTTTTTTTTTTTTTTTTTTTTTTTTTTTTTTTTATTTATATCTCGTGATTATAATTCTTGCGTAACGAGAACTACATAAAAAAAAAAAAATAAATAAAACATTGAAATTTTATCGCGTGACGCCAAACCGCGATAACATTTACCGACTCTTGAGCGCAAATTAAAGAAAGAGATATATATATATATATATGTATATATAAATAGAGAGAGAGAGAGAGAGAGAGAGAGAGAGGAGAGATTTCAGCTATTATTTCGTCTCACTTTTGTATGCTCGACGTTTAAAACGTCAAGCAGAAATAAAATTTTCATTTCCACTTATATATTTATGTATGTATGTATGTATATATGTATATATGTATGTATGTATGTACGTATGTACGTACGTAGGTACCTATGCATGCATAAATGCATGTACAATGTATGCACATAGGTATAACTTATTAAAATCTCTTTCCAAGAGTCAATTAGCCATTCGATAATCTAATATACTTACATATGTACATGGACGTTGTTGATTAGTATCAAGCGAGTTTAATAATAGGATAAATCGAACAAAAGGGTCACTAAATTGGTGCCTTTGATTGTTCGTTCATATTTTCTACCGCAACGTCTCTCGTCGAGAATTAAAGTCGATTTTTCAGAATTTTTTTCTTTCCTTTTTATCTTCCCTTTGTTTTTTATTATTATTATTATCATCATCTTTTTTCTTAATCTCTCCCTTCCATTACTTTTCTCTCTCTCTCTCTCTCTCTGTCTCTATCTTTGTCTTTCTCTTTCTCTTTCGTTCCTTTTTTAATTTTCTTCTTTTTTCTTTCTTTCTTTCTTTCTTTCTTTCTTTCTTTTTGTTTCTTTTCTATTCTTTTCTTTTCTTTTTTTTTTTTTCATTCACGATAACGAAGCGTTTCAACGCAAGTTACGCTAACGCGATAATGGTTACTGACGGGCAAATAAAAAAAAAGGGAAAAAAGAAAAAAAAAGAAAAAAAAGAAAAAATAAAAAAAAAATACACACACACACACACACAAGAAAAAAAGAGATTTCAAAGTTATTACCGGCGGTTTTCCGCGCGCGCAAACATTCGTTGCTCGGTAGAATAAACGTTCGTTGATTTATGTAAAAGCGCGCGCGAATGGTATTATCGTCTTGACGTTTGCACTTATTCCATGTTTAACGGGAAACGAAATTGAAGTTTACAGGAAGCTACGTTGCCGCGACGATAATTTGTTTAATAATTTGTTGTTTGGATTAAAATTCGCTGATCTTTTGCCATAAAATAAAAAGAAAAAAAGAAAAAAAGAGAAAGGAAAAATATTCAACGACGTATTAAATCGACAGATTCGTGGAATTAACGAAAGAAAAAAGAAAAAAAAAAAAAAAAGAAAGAAAAAAAGAGAGGAAAAAAGGGAGAAAAAAAGAAATAGTAAAAAAAGAAGGAACGAAAAAGAAGGGGACGAACAAAAAAATAGAGAAAGATTGCAAAGAAATAGCCGGGGGTTGTAGTGTTATAAACGATCAGTAGTTTGCGGAGAGAGAGCATCGATTTAATACGTCATTCTATTTGTGGTGGCCAACGTACGAAAGCAGCAGCTCTCATAAATACGATCGAATGTGCTTCCCACGGGGGCGTATCGTATCGTATCGTGACGTGGACTCGCGCGAAACGTATCTATCTTAAAAAGAGCTTTTATCGATGGAATTATGTATATATGTGTGTGCTAGTATATATGTATATATATATATATATATATATATATATATATACGTATGTATAATATCTCGGCTGATCTCGTATCCGAATGTATAACTTATGTATTGTATGTATCTATGTATGTATGCATATACGTATGTACGTATGTATGTATGTATCTGTAAAAGAGACGATCACGAAAAGCTCTTCTTTTACTGGCTTCTTCTTGTCGATTGTATATCAAAGAACCGATATCTTGCTTGCGTTCGATTAGAAGGAAAAATTTTGGCAAGTAGCCGTTCGCAGTCGACCGGCAAAGCTTTATAAACGGATTGTTCGTAAGAATTTGTGCCTCGCATGCCACGGTATATATATATATATATATGTGTCATGCTATATATGTATGTGTGTATGTATATATATATATATATATATATATATATATATATATATATATAAAGTTGGAACAACGATATTCTCTCCCCTTTTAAAGAGAATGATATCACAAGCCGGTAAGAAGAAATGCCAAACGAGAATGCGAGTGGCGTGTATACAGGACGATGTAATTTTAACGAGCGGAAGGAGGTGCCCAAGGACACCGGGGACCAGCAGCAGCACCCTTGTAATAATCCGCTGTCGTTACATCGCTTTTACATCGCTACGATATTGCCTCTAAGGTAATAATCCTTTTTTGCTCTCCTACGACATTTTACGAGGACCCGCCTTTATTACTCCCTCACAACCCCCGATTACTCTCTCTCTCTCTCTCTCCCTCTCTTTTTCTCTTTCTTCTTTTTCCTCTCTATTTTTTTATATTTTTTTTTCTTTCTCTTTTCTCTCTCTCTCTCTCTCTCTCTCTCTCTCTCTCTCTCTCTCTTTCGCCTTTTCCTTCTCCTTCTTCATCTTGACTATGCCACCTTATGTTTCTGAGTTCTGAGAATGAGGTGGGCCGACATATACCACCTATTCGATACGAGTTGCTTTAGACTTCTCGCCTTAGACGACGGCGGACTCGCACGCCTGGATCACCGAGAACTTTGTCGTACGAAGGAATGAAAAAGTTTCCAACCGCGAGGAAATAGAGCGCGAAAGACCCGCCAGGAAAATGTCCTGATAATCTTAGGAATAACACGAAAAGAGAGAGAGAGAGAGAGAAAGAGAGAACAAAAAATAAGTATTTCAATTCCATTTCCATCCAACATCCAACGAGTATCATTTCCTTTGGTTGAATGTTTTTGGTCGAGTAAATATCGTCGTAGACGAAGTCTCTCCGCGATCGTCATACCTTTTTCCTCTTTCTTTTTTTTTTCTTTTATTTATTTTTTTTCTCTTTTTCCTCTTTCGTCTCTCCTTCTTTTTTCTTCTCTCTCTCTCTCTCTCTCTCTCTCTCTCTCTCGAACGAACGAACGAGAAGAAAGTTCGTAAGGACGAATTGAATTTTATCGGCGATAAAATTACTTGCTATATTCCGTTTATCTTCGTTAAAAATAAAAGGAGAAAGAAAGAGAAGGAGGAGGGGAAAAGAAATAATGAAAAAAAAAAAAAGAAAAAAAAGAAACAAAGAAACGAGAGAGAACGCTCGATTCGTTATTTTAATAGTAAATAAAAATAAACAAAAGAAAGGTAAAGGATGAAAAAAAAAGACGAGGAGAAAGATTAAAAAAAAAAAAAAAGAGAGAACAAAAAGAAGAAGAAGAAGAAGAAGAAGAAGAAGATGAAGAAGAAAACTTCGGACATCGATGCACTGACCTATATTTATTATTCAATGGAATAAGCACCGGAAGATCGACCCAGATAATTTCTTGGACAGAAACATCTGGACAACCTCGAGATAGCCGCGAAAAAACTATTCGGTCCATTGAAGCCTTTCACACATCCTCTTATCGCTCGCCTAGGTATAAATTCCCTGGACCGTTCTACCATTCCCCGACACCGTTCTCGTCCCCGTTCCCGCCCTTCCTTCCGTCCATCCGTCCATCCGTCCGTCCGTCCATCCATCCATCCATCCATCCGTCGTTTCTCCTTCTACGCTCGGGTAAAAAGTGTAGTGAACGGTAGAACCCGGAGTACGTTCTTTCTAACCCCTACGGCAAGTTTTCGAACGACGGGCGTTGAGGTGAGGGCTGGAAGGAGGAAAGGATAGATCGATCGTCGATCTCACTTCCGTCTCGGTTCGCGAGAAGAAATGGGTATCTATAAAACCTTTAAAAACTTTTTCTTACCGATATCTGGACTCCTACCGTTAGGAGGAGAGTACTTACGAATACATAGATCTTTGTTATATTCAGAAGCATATATAAACGTTAAATTCCCATCAAACGAAATGGAATTACACATGGATATCGTTATAGTAAAAGAAGGATATATATATATATATATATATATATATATACAGCTTTGATTCGTCTGGCACGTCGTATATTTCGAATAGTCGTAAGACTTTTAATGGATTACGACGACGATGACGATCATCCATGAAGATCGTGAAGATCGTTGAAACGACGAACGATCGGTTTATTAATGCAAATCTAAATCCAAAGGTTCTGCAGCTAACCGATCTGCCTACTCATCCCCAATCGTTCGTCCTGTGCTCTGACATTTGCCGATCGTAAAAGAAACGTATAAAGCGATGAACGTCGCTTCGAAGTTCCAAGAATGAAAGTGGAAAAAGAAGAAAAAGAAAAAGAAGAAGAAGAAGAAGAAGTAGGAAAGAGAAGGTTAGAAGATGGACCGTTGATGCTAGAGGGTGAAGAGGTTAGAGGGGTTAAAAGAGGTTCAATATTGGTGGTTATAAAATACGTCGTGGATACGTTGAAATCGGTGAGATTTTTATTTCGTATGGGGTGTTTCTTATCGGGACGCGCGGCTTTATCTTACGCGTTAAAATAGCTGGCTCGTATTTCAAAGACCCCCATCTTCTTCCATTTCCTCTCATAGGATGCAAATCCGTCTCGACGAAAGCGATCGATTAAGTCTACAGGATCGGTAAGCTATAATCATTGGATTACTACGATTCGAGGGACCGATCCGGAAGGAATAAAGCAAACATAAGTTAGGTTGGTAAGGTACGTCTGCCGATTCGATATTCCAGATCTAGCAGGGCAATCAGTTGCAGGCGCGTGCACAGACATTTGGATTCATACCATCGGCATACCACGTGGCGTCATGCCACGAATAGATGTCGAGACTCACTCTCTCTCTCTCTCTCTCTCTCTAGAGAAAGAGAAAGGGAGAGAAAGCTAGGTATCTCTCTTCCTGTTTTCATCTTCTTTCTATCATTTAGCTCTCTTTCTCTCTCTCTCTCTCTCTCTTTTTCTTTTTCTCTTTTTCTAGAGTATAGAAAACCATCTCCAACTAGCATCAACGATATTTTCTCTCTTGCTAAAAGTCCCCGAATTCTTTCTTTCTTTCTTTCTTTCTTTCTTTCTTTCTTTCGGTCTTTCAGTCTTTCTGTCTTTCTTTCTTCCATTCTTCCCTTCCTTTCATTCTTTTCCTCCATCCTTTCCTTCCCGTCTTTCCCCCCGTCAATTCTCTTTCACTCACCCGAGCGATTCGTAATCGATTAACCGTAACTCTCCCACTAGCTATCTCTATCTGTATCTAACGTATAACGATGTATGCGTGCGACGATACATTCTAACTGTCTCACTTCCGTCGATAATCTGTATTCGCTTGGATTCCATCGTCGAATCTCAACGAGCGTGCACATTTTAGGAAGAGAAAGAAATAAAGCAAACATAAGAGAGTGTTCCCTCGTGGATTCAATATGCATCGCTCGAAAGTCGACCTAAGCAGTAGCAGCATACTCTTGCATTTTCCAAATAACCCTTTGAAGAGAGATGGAGAAAGAGTTTCTTTCTATTCCTCTCTTTCTCTCTCTCTCTCTCTCTACCTCTCTCTGCATCTCTCTCTCTGCATCTCTCTATCTATCTCTTCTCTTTCTTTGTCTTACACAACGTAATACTTTCTCTCTCTCTTTCTTTTCGCAATCTCGAATCTACTCATCTTGGATCGCTTTTCCCCGCTTTTTCATCTTTTTTATTCCAATTGAAAGTGACTAACGATAAGCCTCCGACATCGATAATCCATATTCATCGGATATCCCTCTCGTTCTGATCCTTCTCGTTGTACGACATCCTAGTAGATGTAAGTATTAATTCAATAGACGCCGTCTGTCTTAGACGTTCTGGTATTATTCTACCGAAAAAGGTATAAGCTAGACATAGAGAGAAAGAGAGAGAGAGAGAGAGAGAGAGAGAGAGAGATCTAAGACGAGATCTTAAATCTTTAATATCTGGACATCTGTCGAATTAATGTCGTCAGACATCGTTTCTACAAATAAACGACGTAACTGACATACTGGAACGTTCCGTGGAATCGTTAAATCGTCTGACAGATGAGATAATTAAATCAATTAATTCGTCTATAATAATTCATTGATATCTATTCGATCTGGAATAGATATCTAAGAACAGATTCCGATAGCTAATGTACTTCCTCATTCGTTCGTTCGTTCGTTCGTTCGTTCGTTCCTTCGTTCATATATACTATTAACGTGGACACTCGTCTTACCACTTTATCTTACCTTCTAATCGTGAACAACCATCTTACCACTTTATCTTACCTATTCTTCGATTAAAATGAAACGAGCTATGGCGCCATCGAGTGAATACCTAATAGCTAACGATCGGATAATAGAGCTCAAATTCGTCACTTCGTCGAGCTTATGATTTACCGTGATTAGGGAATATATCTCGTAACACAGATGCTATCTATCTACGTCTCTCTCTCTCTCTCTCTCTCTCTCTATCTATCTATCTATCTATCTATCTATCTATCTCTGTCTCTCTTTTCTCGTTCATATATATTCTCATGACTCATGTATATTTCATTGGGCTAGTTCGGTGGATTAAAGGCTTCTCCTTTTTCTATGAGGGGAAAGACAGAGACAGAGACAGAGAGAGAGAGAGAGAGAGAGAGAGAGAGAGAGGATCAGTAATGGTAGGTAGGTAAGTGGATAGGTAGGTATATCGAAACTCACAAAGTTATTACGCTGTCGTCGAGCCGTAATCGACGCTCGAAAAGCGGGATAATATTAAAAATTTATCTACGGAAAATGCGTATTCATAATACATAAGAAAATGTAATGCGTAATCGCGTGTCATCATGAATATCGAATATACATAAATTCGTTCCAAATGAGAGTCATGTGTTCTTCCATAATCAATTAGCGATTTTTATCTACGTTTCGTACTCTACGTTCGTACTACTTACGTCAACGTTATAAATACGTAAATATATGTATATATATTTCGTTCTTCGTACAAATGTATAAACTGTGAGCGAAAGGCAGCCGTGGCAAGATGGGACGGGGATAATCGGGGCGAGGGAAATTGGAGAAAATTTCTGTCTTGCAATTCGGCAACTGCTATATTAACCGGGTCTTAATCAAGCTACTTTGTTACTATAATGCGTACAACGAATGTAGTATGTAAGTACGTAGCTACGTAGGAAGGTAGGTATAACTAGGTAGAAAGGTAAGTAGGTAGGTATGTAGATAGGTAGGTAGATAGGTGGGTAGATAGGTAGGTAGATAGGTAGGTAGCAAGTTGTTCGAGACGTAGCGAGTTTCACCGTACGATTAAGTTGAGAGAACTACTTAAGCAAATGGATTCATCGGTTTAATAGAGCCTACAATGTTTTGTTTTAAAATGGTTAGGAAAGGTTAAAGGAACGTGCTCGCGTTTAGTCTCTCTCTCTCTCTCTCTCTCTCTCTCTCTCTCTCTCTCTCTCTCTCTCTCTCTCTCTCTTTGGATAATGCGATCCATAATTTTCTGGATAATTCTACTGGCGAACAACTCGCGCGAGCTATGTATATTAAAGTCGTCGTTGTCGTTTCTCTCTCTCTCTCTCTCTCTTTCTCTCTCTCTTTCTTTACTAAGTTAAGCTGTGTAAGAATGTATAGATATTTATATCGAATAAAGTCTTGAAACGGGACGTTCCTCGTAATGGCTTTTTAGCCAAAGAATTTCCAAATTCCATGCTTGCGAGACATTGAATTTACATAGAAACCACTTGGCAGAAGATCTTCTTATATCTATCTATTCGTATCTCTCTTGGCGGAAGGCCTCCGAAGGATTTGGGATACGGAATGGAATCCGACGTGATCGGGATCAATCGTCGTTTCGCACGAGAGACGCGAGCCTCGAACGACACACGTCGTTCTAACGCTAATCGAACACTCGTCCCATTCGAAAGTTAACTTGGATCGTTCGTCTCCCGGAAAAAAAGAGACAATTGAGCCTCGACCTTCTCTCTCTCTCTCTCTCTCTCTCTCTCTCTCTCTCTCTCTCTCTCTTTCTCTCTTTTTCTATCTATCTATATTTCTCTCTCTCTCTCTTTCTCCCTATCTTCGTTTTCCTCTCTGTCTGTCTATCTCCTTTCACTCTTTCGAACTCAATCTCCTCTTCCGTCGAGTCCGCCCGCTGGGACCAATTAGCAAAGCTCCAAATCGACGTCCTTGCCTTCTTCGATCGTAACTGGCGAATAGTATATGCATTGAAAATCGACGACGCGTTAGGCAAATTCGACGAATTTGTTCGAATTAA